GCCGCCGCGCCGGGGCCGCCCCGGGCCGGGCCATGCGCTGAGGCCGCCGCGCCGCCCGCAGCCAAGGGCGGATCCCGGGCAGGACACGGTGAGGCGGCGGGCACCGCAATGCGACCGGCGCGGCGGGGGCCGGGGGAGCGCGGCCGGCGCGGGGACCGGGGGTGCTGCCGGCAAGGGCGGGGAGCGGCGTGGGGGGACCCGCGATCCTGCCCCGCCATCTGTCCGTGCCCTTCTGCTGCCTCTCCATCTCCATCCCGAGCGGGATGCTCGTCCCTCCCGCCCCTTCTCCGGCTCCTCCATCTCCATCCTGCCCCTCCATCTGTGTCCGGCTCTTCCCCTGCCTCTCCATCTCCATCCTGAGCGGGATGCTCGTCCACCCTGCTCTTCCTCTGCCCCTCCGACCTCCATCCAGCCCCTTCTCCTGCCCCTCCATCCTGCCCCTTCTCCTGCCCCTCCATCCAGCCCCTTCTCCTGCCCCTCCATCCTGCCCTTCTCCTGCCCCTCCATCCTCCCCCTGCCCTTCCCCTGCTCCCCATCCCACCCCTGCCCTCCGTGCTGACCCCCGGCTCCCCACCGCTGTCACCCCCAGCGCTGGGGGCAGAGTGGGAGGGCGCTGGGGGGGCCTGGGGGGTGCATAGCCCCCCGGCAGGGTCAGGCCCGGGGGGTCCCTGCCCACGAGCTGAGGGGGGGCCGTGCTCCGGACCCTCGGGCACCAGGGACTGTTTGGGTCGGGCCAACAGGCCATGGGGTCACCCCAAAGAGCCCCCCGGGTTCCGTGGGGGTCTGTCCAGCCCAGCCCTCACCTCAGCTCTCCATGGCGGGGCTGTGGGGCCGGGGGCGCTTTTGGCGGTGCCATGGACAGGTGGAACAAGTGGGATGGGACAGGTGGGATAGGCAGGTGACACAGGTGGGATGGCACAGGTGGGACAGGGTGGGACCACTGCCAGCCCCAGCCGAGGTTGGACGTTCCCACGCGCCAGCTCAGCCCCGGCCCCCGCTCCAGCCCCAGCCCCCGGGTGCTGGTGACGCTCCCAGCGTGGTGGGATCCAAGGAGCCCACGATGGGCTGAGCTCCTTGGCTGCCCGAGGCTGTGGGGATGGGCTCCTCCAGCTCCCAGCCTCACCTGGCTCTGCTCTTTGGGGACATGCCGGGGTTCTGAGGCTGCTTTGTGGGGTCCGGACCCCCCCGGTGGCCTGGGATGGGGGGGCAGCGGCCGTGGGAAGGGGCTGGTTCCCCTGGAGATGCTCAGGGATGCAGGAGGAGCTGCCGTGCCCAGGGCAGCCACCAGCACGGGGCTGTCGGGGGCACTTTGTGTCCCCCTTCCCTGAGCTGGGGTGGCAGCAGTGGAGCTGACGGCAGAGTCCTTCAGCAGTGCTCAGGCCCCCTTCCCTCCCCTCCTTCCCACTCATCCTGTGACTGGACACCTTTGGGAACCCTGTCCCGTGCTGGGTTTCATGTCCCCAAGGCTCTCTGAGGGTCCCACACGCCCTGGGGACCCTCCTGGGACAGAGCTGGTGCTGCCACCCCTGCTCTGCACTGGGGGAACTGGAGCAGGGCCCAGTCTGGGGCTGGAGCGGTGCCCCCTCATTTCACACCCCGGGGCTGCAGCACTCGGGGGGCACTGGGGACCCTGCCCAGGTCCAGCTGTCCCCTGCGGGTGGGCACCGAGGTTTGGCAGCGTGAGGGTGGCCAGGAGGGGTCTCTGACCCACTGCCCACCACCCACAGCCCACGGCTGTGCCACGCTCCTTCCCTCCGCTCCCCAGCACACCCGTGGGGCGGGAGCGGAGCAGAGGGGTGGCACGGAGTGGGACAGGGTGGCGGCAAGTGACAGGGGTGGCAGGACACAGCAGCACAGTCTGCGTGCGAAAGGGCACCTCTGAACCTGGGCAGAGAGCCCAGCTGGGCCCTCCAGGTGC